GGTAGAAGCAGCTAATGATGATCAGAAAATGGAACTGTATTGAAATAATTCATCTTACTGATGAATTAATTGTAAAGTATTAATTAAACTTGCCTGTCTTTCTACTATACCATTCACTTTTGCAATTTCAAGAATATTAAGATTCACTGCTGAAAGGGAAAACAATTAATGAAAATACATCCAATTTAAAAAAAGAAGACATTCTGGATAAAACAAAAACACCCTTTAAGTCATTTGGGGAAATTGTGGAACTATCACTGACAATATTCCAATCCCACCTATCAGGAGCAGTCGAAATATAAATTAAGAAATCTGCTCCTAGTGTACAGGAATTTCACCCTGAATTGTCCAATGATCGTTCTCATTTCTGCACAACTCACACATGTGACAGCCTCGCTGTGGTATCAATATCAATTCAAAATTTTATTAAAAAGGTATCACAGGAACTATTGAACTGAATCACTCTCTGTTTACTGATTGCTAAGGGAATAATTCTCAGTCCTCTGAGAGGCACAAATTATCCACTTTGGAATTTATCAAAGACATGATAATGATAGCATTATAAAGCAATGGTAAATACTTCTTCCCCTGAGCAGCAGCAGACTGGAAATCTGCCATGGTGAAAATCACCATGAATGTCTCTATAATTTGTACATGGCACTCTCAAATAATGAATAGGAAATCTCTTAACATCTTACAAAACTCCTACATTCAAATTCACAACGTGCATGTAAATTCACAGAGAAAACACAACCAGAAACTGCACTTTATAGTTCTGGATTGGTTTATTAATAGATACAAATTTGTAATTTAAAATATATAAATTACTTTTTCATAGCACTTTAAAAGAAATTGGTTTGTAATAAGATCTGTGACTAAACTCTCCATACACAAAAGTTATTTTAACTGCACTTCAAGAAAAATGTTATCCTTAACACATTTTGGAAAGAGACTAGCTCAGTGCATTCATGCTAAGTAATCTATACAGTTTACAGTTCCCATGCAAAGACTTCCAACTTCATCTTCAGTAATCAGAACGTAAACAAGTTATCTTGTAACAGATGTACTCTACAAATCATTTATGCAGCAACCCAATCCAAGTGCATGACAGTTTGTTTCCCATGCACTGCCTACAGGTCCTCGAGGACTACTGGAACAAGAAAATGCTTCACTGGTCAGATCTTCAGGTAAAACAAATGGGACTTCACCACCCATCGGCACAATCAATGTACTGGCCCCGTATCGATACAACTCCAGTGATTACCTCCATACTGCAACACACAAATTCATGCACCCCCTACTGAAAACTCTACAAAGCTGACCACTCATCAGTACACTGAAAAAGTGACTGACTACCTATTGCAACATTACACTTGCATTAAATCCCACCCTGCACAGCATTTAATAAATGACTAGCCAGTCACATATTGCAGAAAAGGCTGCTTCTCATTAGGTAATCTGTTTGATTGCCCATTTTCAGTGTCGTAAGTTACCAATATCATCTATGGCTTTATGTTGAAGCAGTATGTCTTCCAAAAACAAGGAGGGGGAAAAAAAGAGCAAAAATATTTATTTTTCCCACTTAAAATGCTGGTGAAGTACAGGTTTCTGGCAAGTATCAGTAGAATTCAGTGCATATCGCCTCTCTAGAATATTTTAATTGAAACAAAATCAGATCCTATCCAGCTAGAAAAATGAAATACTAATGTTGCAGTTTAGAAAAACAAAAAACCAGCATCCAAATGATTCAACGCTTTTCCAGTTAAGATTTCAAACTACCTCCAATATGAAGAAATTACACAAATGCATTCCAAAGGATGGTTCCAGTTTACTAAAGGAGCTCTAATCCCTTTCTAAAGGCATTCAAGCTTATCCTTACTTAAGTATTACAACAAATAAGCCAATTCTTGCCTGCTCAGATTAAATCAATATGAAACTAACTTATTTTTCTTAAGAGAATGCCTTCATGAGAAAATAGTATCTCCACCTTACTGAACATACACGACTGTCTTACTCAACCATATATACTAGTCAACTATGTACACACCATATATATTTTCCCTGATATTTTCCCCTCACTGTTTATTAGACAACAAATACACATTGCAGTCTGAAGTTTTCCCTGGGAACTTTAAGTGTGAATGTTTTTGCCTCTATTTTTCATGGTAACAGCCCATTATTCCTCGTTGCCTTACAAACACTTGCAACCTACCTGTATCGGTTCTAGCACAGTTTTATGACTTCCTAACCAGGGTCAGTTCTACACCTGTATGTAGAGATTTAGTTCCTAATATTATTTTCAATTACTCTTCCTTTTTTTTTAGTTTGGAAATGATGGAAGAAAAGTTTAAACGACATTACTGCTCCAAAGTCTTACCCTAAACTTGCCTTGAATATCTGAAATATATTCAATTCTACCTAGAATTTTGACTTGGGAAAAATTAGCAGTCCCTGAACTTTCAAACATGCAATATTAAAGCTGAATTTCCGGAAAGGGGAAAAAAAAAAAATAATCAATAGAATAACTTCAAAGTTATGCATACTAACATTTTTTTGTTTCTAAAGCATTCTTTCCTTTTATGTACTGAAGAATTACAGTAATTCCCTGAATACGGGGGAAAACATTTTTCTTGGGAATATCTAATTTTATGTATTATAAGACATAACCATGTCATAGCCTACAACCAGCACAATAAAGAAATTTTAACAGATTGTGTAACTATAACAATGGCCAGAGAAAACATCTAGAGGCTGATAAATTAATTGCAAGGAGAAAATCAATCATAAAGGCTTTAATTCTAAGTGATGGACAAATTAGCATGGCTAATAAAGAAAAGGTTTTTTAAGGCAAATATAAGTTCCAACAAGTTAATGTACATAACTAACACAATAGCTCTCAGTCTGACATACTCAGGAAATCATCTAAGAGATCTTTAATGTCTCTTAATTGTACATGAAGGTTAAATTCTTTGGCTGCCCACCTTTAGCCATAAATAGATATTCAAAGTGGTTAACACAACAGAAGATACATGCATTTATAGAAATTCAGCATGTTCTCCAGGCACTCTAATAGCTTCACAGTAATTTTTACATGAAATATAAAAATAAGCTGAAATGCAAGATTTAAAAACTTTATAAGACTTTCAAAACTTTTCTGGGAAAAAACAGGCAATCATGGAAATAAAACTTGCTTTCACAGGGGCTCTTGTACTTCATTGCAACTATATTATCTTTTCATTTTCACCAAAGCTAGAATACTTCCCTTGTATTCAAAAGCTAACACCTACAGCATCCTACTTGACGTAGACAATTATTTTCACTTTATTTTAGCTAGTACAAGAGGGAGCAAGTTTTCATCCTTCTGAACAGAAATTTAGTATCTCCAGTGTTACTGATGAGAGATGGCTTATGTCCTGAAATGACATCTCCAGTGGTCTTAACATCAAGCAAGAATCAACAGTCCCTTCAAGAGCCTAGTTAGCACAATTTTTTTATTGAGATCTAAGCTCTGGTCATTCAGAGAAGTTAGGAAAGATTAGTGTTACAACAGACATTGGGGTTTTTTTCTCATTTAAAGTCTAAGGCAGTTATTTCTTTTTCCTGTAATTTTAAAAGCATGAGAATGCATTTCTGTAAAGCAGCAGCACATATTCAGTGCATGGTATGTTCATCATTGGCATAAAATACACAGTATTTGGAAAGGCAGCACACTGAATAATTCAGTGACAATACCTTTAAGAGTCTCATGGATGGTGATAAATCCAGGAAACGCTACACTTCAACAGCACTTGTAGCAAGGAAATTGCACTTAGTACCACAACCAGCAACTAACATTTATTTCTCCATTTCATTTTCTTTGTACTCTTTTGAGGTTCTGATTCCTATATTCTTGAGCTGCTCCTCCTCTCTCATACATTAGAGAGAATTCCTTTCTGAGTCTCATCCTAGATTCTTGCTTAAGGCTATTTCTTTCCTTTTGTTTGTTCCCTGCCCCAAAATTGGGTATTCTCTTTCCGTGCTCCTCCTTCCTACTGTTTCCAATTCTTGACATTTTCCGTCTACCAAATGTCTTCTTCCTCCTTAATATGGTTGTCACTCAGGCTGCAATTCTCTTATATCCTTCAAATTTTACCCGCCAGCCTTTACTGCAGAACATCAATTAGGATCCCACCTGTAGACTGCAGGGACTCTCAGCTCCAGCTTCTACCTACCAGAGAGAGAGAAGGGAGCAAGGGAAAAATGATGGCAGGCATGGGGCAGACTGGGAAATGGAGGAATGTGGAAGGGAAAGTGGGATTTCTCCTTGCAGATGCAGCAAGTAAGTTAGTCTTAGCCTACCTGGTAGGCTTGCACCTTCAGAAGACAGCGTTTTGTATGTACGATCAAGGCTGAAAGAGGCAAACCAAGGGGTCAGTCACTACAGAACAGAAACTTCTAGTTTCTTCTTCCACATGATGTGACGTGTGACATGACCCTGCTCATCTGACTTGTAGCAGTCGTGCAAAAGGGTTTCCCTCCCAGCTGACAGAGAGGAGCAGGATGTCCTGCTGAGTCTGACAAAGGACATCAGTTCTCAGGAGCAGAAATGGTGAAAGGAGTTGACTTCTGTAGTGTCTTTTTCTCTTGCCCGCTACACCTTTTCCTCCCCCGTGGCAGTAGGGTCTTCAGTCTCCTCTCACAGAAACAGTGGGGCCCACAAGTCTCATCGACACTGTGCCATGCATCAATAGATTCATTCAGGTAGCTGATACAGCATCAGCTGTATCATTTGAGATAGCTTCTAACAATTTGTTATCAACAGTGAGTTCTTAACACCATCTGTTTTCAAAAAGTCTCAAATGGCAATATTCCAAGCTTCACAGGTCATTATCTGTGCACCTACAGCATATATTCCAAATAAACCTTCACCTTCATGGCTTTTGGAAAATACTGATTTCCTGACCAATTACAATACTAAAACATCAAAAACCAACCCAGTCCTACTGCCCATCTTTTCTTACCTGCATCCCTCTCATTTTCTGGAACCGAGCTACTGCATCACTGATGGTGTAGACACGAACATGGCCCATGTGAAGCTTTCCAGAAGGGTATGGGAACATAGAAAGCACATAAAATTTTGGTCTTGATTTCTAGAAAGAAATTTTTAGAAAGTTGTAACTACATGAGCTAGCATTTTGCTTGAATACATGCGCACATTATAAACTACACGGCACGATGAAGAGAAACAAGGTTTTGCTGGAACTGATCCAAGTGAGCACTGACAAAGTTCATCGGATCAAATTCTTTGGGGCTGTAAATGGAGATGTTTTATCAGACTTTGCTGCCATCTCATCAATTATATTGATATTTATACAGCACTCGAGAATTATGTTTTTAATTAACTTTTACTCAACAAAAGATACATTAACGTAACTGCAGCTTAACAAATCACCATTCCCCACCATAGCATCTGTAACTAACTATCTATGCGTTCCTAATCTGTCCCACCAAAAAATGAAAACATGACAGATTAAATTATCCTCTTAACAGTTTAAAGAAGTGTTGTACTTTGTATTTACAACAAACATGGAGCTCACTCCTGGCCAGTTGCTTTTTGTCAGCTGAACTGCAGTAACTCGCTGAGTGACAAACTCAATCATTTGCAACTGCATGAACATCCACTGAAGTGAAACCGTTCAGTTCCACTATGCATGCTCAGATCCAAAGACATCTTACAAGCAGTACCTTGCATAGTGAAAAGTAAAGATTTCATTTAGTTAGGTTTGAGTAAATGGACAAAAGTTACAAAGAAACCAAACATTATCTCTTTCACATAAATTATTCCTAATACATCCTGATCAGCATTGAATTTATCATCGATACATGCTTGGTAAGTTCCCACAATAATTTTTTTATGTTAATAATGAAAGAAAAAAATTATGGGCAGCTTTTACTATTCTGAACAAAACTCTATTCATATTTGTCAGATACTACTTCTTTACCACTTATGTCCAATAATAGCAAACCCAGAAATAATCTGAATACTTCACTGCAGCACTATACACTATTTGCCTCTTAATATGAGTTATTAAATCTACTTCAACTGTAAGGATAAACAAAAGTATCATTAAAAATACAATTTAGAACTTAGCATATGTATGATATATATACATGATACCTATGTATACATGTGTTGTCAGATATAAAAGACACAAGCCTAACTTAATGCTTTCCCTGCTACCTGTATGCATGCACACCATTTTCATCTGTTTTCCTCCTCAGAAAAAGCAAGCCTCTTTTCTCTCTTTGACACTTTGACAGAATCAGGTTTTTGTTGGAGAGGGGGCACATTTTAGGAAAGAACAAACAAACATGAAGGGGCACAAAAATGTTTTTATACCTATGTGACTGAGCATAATTGAGAAGGCAAAAAGAGTCAGAGACTGAGATTACCACTGTTTTCAAGATCTTTTATTGCATGGGAAAACTTGTTTTTTCTGTAAGTCACTCATTATTCCTAGGACACTGTAAACCAGAAATTATTCTTGAAAAATCATCTTCCCTTAACATGGATTTTAATGAGTCACAGTGTGTAGTGTAATAGATTTGCAATAACCATTGGGAACAAGAACTTGAGAAAATTGTTTACAAAAGTTACGAACGTAGATGTTTCTTTTAATCCTTTAAATAATTAATTCCTAAATATGGTATAATATACAAAGAAAAAAATTGATTAAACACTTCCTAAATTTACAAGTTCATACTTTGCTTATCACCCTGTTTATCCTCAAGATTTTTTTTATTATTTTACCACCTATTTCATCAACAGTTTTTAATAATCTACTATCATATAAAAGTATTTTCCCCCAAAATGTAATATACATCTCATCATTATAAGCCAACTGTACTAAGTAAGTTTCAATTAATTTCACTGCAAAAACAAAAATATCAAACATATAATTTCCAAATTTCTCATAATGCTTACATTAGTTTCTGAAATTCTGCAGACCTGATCCTTTAATCTCGGGAGCCACCAATTTTCAACTCTTTTTCTTGTCTCCAACCCATAGCTTTTTTCCCATTTCCCCGTCTCACTGTAAATAGTTCTGACAGAAGGAGGAACCAGTCTTCTCTGCCATTTAATTAATCCCAGGAAGCCATTTAGTTGTCTCGTCAAACATGAGGAACAAGTGCCAACTCTCTGACAAACTGACTGCATTCTTAAGGTTATGATATCTGAAAAAGACAAAAACATGTATTTCAGTCTGCAATGTATAACAGGAATTTAGTGGTTATTATGATTATACAGAAATTTGGTAGCTATGAAACATATTTTAGCTTGATTTAGATTACTTAGCTGTTTTCCATGGTACTTGCATTTTATTCCCATGTGTTTGAATTATAAAAGCATTTCTTTTTTAGCCAAGAGAACTAACTGTGGCCCTTGCACGAAACAAACCTGTTCTGTTAGATTTCTTCTCTAATAAGATACAATTCTCACATTCAATCTCCCATAAAAGCAGGATCAGTCAATTGAAGGTTCAAGAAGCTCAGTTGCCTGAACAGAAGATGGCTAACAGGGTGTTAGTAAAATTTAGAATGAAGTAGGGAGAAGAGGAAGTTGGATGAAATTATCTTGCAAAACTACTGAATTTGTCATCACTGAAAAGACATGGGGGAGGATGACTATAATTAGTAGATTTCAACTAGACATTATAAATTGACTATTTTGCTAAGGGCTTCCTTGTCAGTATAGCTTCCTGCAAGAACTACATGAGAAACTTACACTGTTGAGACAAGATGTAATTTAACAAGTCAAGCAAGTAAAGCAATCCGGTTCTCTTTCAACTAAAAATCCAGTTAAAAGAACTCCTCATACGCTTTAGAGTGAGTCTTCTAAAATAAAACTACTCAGATTTGAGAAAGATCAAATAGCCCGCATGTTTGGGATCAGTCTCAGTAAGATATTTACTGATTTTACTTCCTACAGTAGGAAATACAGCATTAAAAAAAACCACCTACTCTGAGATTTCTTCTTCATCTTCACCCCCAATTCCTTTTTTAAAAAACTTGTTTCTTTATTTACATCAATATTTCCTATCCTCTATGGTTGTGGGGTGGGTTTTTTTCCAAATTTTGGCCTATATACGTGACTGTTGTACCAAGCTAGCTATTCAGTCTGTTCATAATTTTTCTTGCAGTTACATCAGTAAAATCTCTGTGTAGAGAAACCTTGTATAAGAAGCAGTTTTATTTATGTATTTCCCATACAATAGCAACATTATCAGTAGAAATAATTGCTATACCACCTAAATCAGGTCCCCAGTAAGCTAGTGGGAATTATACTTCCTTAATATTCACCACATATGCGTACACAAGCCCTCATTGCCTGTCTCATTACATATCTACAGAATTGCACCTCTTCTCTCTTACTTATCAAACAGGCTCTTTTAAACATTTTTTCATTTACATACATGCCTTATATTTACATACTTATTTACATACACACCAGTGCTTTGAATTTTTTGTTGCTAATCTCTAAAATCGCTCTCATTTGTCATAATAACAAATCCATGGCTGAACTCAGGATTCCCAGTGCAGGTGCACAGGAGTTACTCAGAAGACACCTAACTTCTCCCCCTCCATAACCTTACACTTACTCACTCAGCTCAAAATTAGCAAGAACATTTCAGTACTACACTGTTTTGCTTATTCTTATTCATGATTTCCGTATTACTTAGGTCTTATTTCCATTACTTCAATTTATTTTACAACAGAAAGGAGCACTTCCTTACGGCAGGCCACTTTCAGCATTGCTGACTTACAAAATACGTATTTGAAAACACAACAGTTACACACATGCGAATTCTTCAGTTGCCCCCCTGCCAATGTCATGTCTGCCAGGGCACATTTGGGTGATCTCAGGCCCTACGGGTCACACAAGCAGTGGATGCAAGTGAGAAAGGGACCACAGCCTGGGTTACACAGCGTTAGAGCAAAGCTCATTTAAACACAGGGACTTCCAGAATGAGAAAGAGATCTGCAGTCTCTTTCCTGCTCCCAGACCCCCTCACGCACAAGATGTGACAATCAGCAAGCCACACGCTGGGCCAAGCAAGGACGTGCAGCACAGAGGACAAGCAAATGCCAAAGATGTGGCACTACGTGGTTTTGCCTTTCCAAACAGGTGTGCATGGGACCAGGACAAGAAGGATGCTCCTCCCCACCCCAGTTAAGGGCATCTGAGGCCAGCACTGTGTGGGTCTTCAAAGGAGCAGGTTACCAGCCATAACTGTCCAACTCGGGCAGGTGTGCCAAGAAGGGAGGAAGGGGCTGGACTGACAGAGGAACAAAGGTTGAGACCCTGCTTTGGAAAGATGGAATAAGCACACAGGAGAGGGGACCTTTACTGCATTAAGGTACTGAAAATTGCTTGGTAAGGGCCAGCACATTTCACTAACCCTGCAAGTGAGGCAGGCAATCAAATTCCTTTCTTTATCCTGCGGCTCAAATTTGAATTAAAAAAAAATCAAAACCTCTCTACGCTCCTGCCCCCCCGCAGTTTAACTAGCAAAAGCCCTGGTGGGGCGGTGGCCGGCTGCTGGGGCAGCAGGTACAGGAACAGGCAGCTCCCTCGGCGGGAAAGACCAATCACGGCAGGGCGGGAGACTCAGAGGGGTGCTGCGGTTCACCGCGCCGCCGGCACGGCCGCCTGCGAGGGGCTGCGGCGGGGGCAGCCAGACGAACGCAGCGGGCCGGGGGAAGCGCGGAAGGCGCACGGTTGCAGGCACCGGAGGCAAAGGCCGCCCGAGGGGGAGCGTGAGGAGCAGAGACCGTCGGCAGTTAGAGCCGTTGGCCTGACAGGAGGCGAGCCCCGCGCTCGCGCCCACCGCTGAGGGACCGTTACCTGCGCGCGGGAGCCCGCTGACCGCGCCTCGCGCGCCCTCAGCTTCCCTTCCTCGCCGCGGGCGCCGCCATCTTGGTCTCGCTTTTGGCGCCCGCGGCCGGTACGGCGCGTGTGCGGCCTCCGCCCCGCCTCTTGCGCATGCGCGGCGCGGCGCCGGCCCCGCCGGGGCTTCTGCGGAGGGGCAGTGGTGAGGCACGGCTTCTCCCCGCGGGTGGGGTCCAGAGGCCGGTTGGAGGCCAGTCCGGCCCAGTCCTGACCTCTCCCGCCCAGCCCAGCCCACCATGGCCCCGCCCGGCCCGCCCAGCCCAGTCAAGTGCCTGAGGCCTTGCCGCGCGGGTCCTGGCCTTCCGCCCGAACCAAAGTGTCTGAGAGCCGAGAAAACCTGAGGAAATCTCGTGTGTTCCGAAGCCCCGAGCCTCACAGTAGGCAGGGTGGGAGGGAAGCGTGGGCCTCCGGCAGGGCAGGCGTTCCGAAGGCTGCCGGGCGCCATGCCTGCTTAGGCAAGTTCCCCTGTGAGCCTGCACCGAAAACTTGCCCTGCAAAATCTAGGGCAAAAGTTGAATTTCAACAGCGGTAGGCAGTTGTTAACCTACTAGAGGCGAGTAGCAACCGTTTTAATTGATGGCTTAAGGTACAGGTACGCATTTTAGAAGACCAAACAGCACCCCACCCCAGACAGAGCACGTAGACTGTATTTACACGTTAGAAGGGCTTACCAAGATCACAGTCTTTGCCTTGGGAATGGTGGTCTGGTAGCTCTGAAGGCCTTGGCCCCTCAGTCCTGCAAATGTTTCAGTAGGTGTTTGACGAGGAGGATGGAGGATCAAAGCAAGGTAGTGACCTGAGGCACACTGAAGAGCACACTGAAGGGTCCACAGGATCTTGTGCTGGGCAATGTGAGGCTGCATTTGTCACTATATCTTTGTATTTTGGATATTTAACATGCAAACCTAGGAGACCAACAGTAAATAAAAACATTAAATTAACTGGGATTGTCTGTGTAAGTTGCACAGTGTCTGATTAATATTGCTTGCCTCCACAGCATATACAGATAATCTGTAAAGTGACCATATAGTTTAGGGCTAGATTTCCATAGCATTTTGTCTTAAGTAGTTTTATTTCCCTCTGTAATTTTTTTTTTTTTTAATATACAGATTCTGAAATAAAGCCAATAGTTGTTTTGTGACATATTTTGGACTAATGAGAAAAAAAGCAGAAGTCAAAAAAGATAATCTAGAGCAGTGTAATTAATTTTACCTCTGGCTGGAAAACAACATCTTACCCTGTTGTCAACACTGTACAGTTCAGAGTTGGTTTTAATTACTGCAAGTAGCTCATAGTAGCCTCCAAGGAACAAGAATACTTTTTTTTTCCCCCCCGGGGATTGTGCCCTTTTGCTGCTGGTAACTGTTGATTCTTTTCATTTTTAAACCTTTTTCTTCACTGTTGTGTTTCCAGCGGAGTTTAAAGCAACACTTTCTGTTTGTGCAATGCAATGCCTCCAGTACAGTGAACATTTTTGTACTCTAGGGATACGGGCTTCTTCGATGACTAAAAATCAGTATTTACTGAGTATGAGCTTTCTGCTTGGATGTGTGTACCTGTCAAGCATGCTTAAATTATAACCTTTTCACCACAAAAATGAACTGAGAGCAGCTCTGATGCTTACCCTGCTTATAAACTAGTACAGCTTCACCAGGACTGTGTGCACAATTTTAGTTTGCTTTCCTGTTGATCTCCTTTTCAGCAAGTGATGGTGACTTCTGTCTAACAGACCTTCCCATCTCAAATCTCTGAGCTGCCGTGTGAGTTCCTGGCTGGCGGGGGGGGGGAGGGCAGGCGGACGACCGGCAGCACAGTCCTTGTCTGAGACCCTTCCCCAGGATAAACCAGAGCTCATGACCAGCTGGGACATGTTTTCACTTCAAAGGGTGATTTCCTTCACACTGGCCCTGACCCCTGCATTCTCCTGATTCACATGGAGCCGTTTGAGGGCTTGTATCCCTGCTTGCTCCCTGTGCTCTGCCGGGGTTACTGCCTGCTAAGGAGAGACAGATGAGCGAGCAGTGCATCCAACCCCTGCCTGGCCTATTAAGATGAACCCTTGTTGAATTTAATTTTCATTCGTATGGTGGGCTGTGCAGCTCACAGCTCTGATTTGTCATCCCTGTTGGATTCGGCTCAGGAACCTTAGAGGTTCCCACTTCCAAAGAGAAGGGACCTGATGTGGAAGAGCTGGCCATCTTTGTTTGCACCTTTTTACTTTGGGTGTGTAGTGCCCTTCACCTCAACAGAGGACAACATGGTAGAGCTCAGAGTGAGTGGAGGTAGCAAAATTAACAAAAGAATTATTTTCTGTTGTCTTGAAAACATTTTGAAAGCCCAATCTCTGCCTCAAATTTAGAATTATGATTTTTTAAATACATTTCAATCTCTGGACTGTGGAAGTACCTAACATTAAACATATTGACTTATATTTTTCAAGGCCTGCCATCAAGATTATAGCTGATTGAGTAGTCAGACCTTTGTCTTATCTTTTTAATCTGTTCATTTCACTAAAATACTGCTTTCTCATCCTGACAATCTACTTACATGTTTCATTTGCTTGAAGCTGAGGATAATCTGTTTAGATTAATAATAAATTAATCACAATCTTAAATGCTTCCAAGGAAGTTAGGTGGATGCTATATGCAAACACAGACGTGCCATATCGCAGGCGGATTTAGGTCTGGGCCCATGTGGAGCCTCCAGCACTTCTCTATTCGCCATATTATGCAACAAACCAAACTGGGCTTGGTTAAAGTCAGACGTAGCTTGTGATATTGCTGAAATGGGAACTGAAGGAGGGATTTATAAATGGGTGGAGGCACAGTATTGTGCCAAGTCTTGGCTATAGGTGCCACTTTGCACCCACTATTTCCAAAAAATAAACTGGAGAAAACTAAAAACCAAAGAATACCATTTTCTATTATTCCTTATTTTCTTCGGGGAGAACTTGCTGGTCTGATTTTGATTAGCTGCTAACAAAAACAAGCCAAGCACATTCAACACAGGTTTGAATTGTGTGTTACTTCAGGTCGTGTAGAAGATGACTTCTGTCAAGATACTAATGGGGACTTACTCTGAGAATGTATTGAACTCTTAATTTGTGTCACTTTCCCATTGATTTTATTGAAGCTTATTGTGCTGTCTGGATTCTGATAGCGAGGAAGGCAGCCAATATCAGATGAAGCTAAATAAGGTGCAAGATCATCTGTAAACAGAAATTAAAACTAGGTGAGAAAAACTGAGACCAACCAGAAGCATACTCAGAAGGAATGAAGAGCAAAGGTAATTTGCATAGCATGATAATCCATGAAGATCAAAACCAGTGCAGATACACACTGTTATTTGGTATCTGGGCTTGTTCATTGGCTTATTCATGGTAAGAGTAGTAGTGAGTTGCCTGTCTATTAAGCACTAATTGTTTGGCATCACTGTTTTAAAAACACCAAGACCCCATGTCAGCAGTAAGTCCCAGATATGGCAATGAATGATTGTCCCATGGTGTGAAGACGACAGCCAAAAGCACACCAAAGCTTTTCTCCAAAGTCTGATACTGACTGTTTTCTGTAGTCGCATCAAAGTCTGCTAACCTCTCCGAGATATCTTCCTCATCCAGCAATGGGAGGCCAGATTTTCCTGTCTGCTGTGCCCTGTCTGCGTGTTTGGACAGGTGGAAGGTTGGCCAGGTTGTGAAAGGAAGGTAATTCACCAGCTGTATGTATGACAAACAGAAAAAGAGCCAGAGAACATGACCAGGGGTAATTATGCTCTCTTTAAATGAGAGGGAGCTTGAGATATCACTGAAAATTACAGAGAGTTTAGAGGCTACTCTGCCTCTGCTTTGTTCTTTAATTTCTACATTCAAGAGTGTCCAGATGTGCCAAGGGCTTAAGCCAAAATATCAAACTAGGAACCCCACAAATGGTGGGGTGTATTGTAATGGGACAAATACAAGAGATCCTCAGGAGACCTACCCCACCTTCCCATGATCCCCACCTTCCCCATGGGGGTTTTGCTTGTTAACCTGGGCTGTTTGCTCAGTCTCCTTTCATTATGGGAAATTAATGATATAATGACATTTGTATTTGTCTTAATAACAACCTTGGTAGTAAACTATTTTCCATAATGCTGACATTCCCATTTTCTTTTTTAGATTTTACACTAACTTGTTTGTTAGTTTTTTTTTTTCAATCAACGCAAAGCCTGGGGGTGATTAAGTAGTTAGGTAATTCCTTAGTTCCTCTATGGGAAATGTGCAAAAGTGCCCCAGTTGTCTGTCACTTGAATAGATGTGCTTCCCAGATTTCCATACAAGTATAATTTTGCCTTTGCTGATAGTTACCAGAATTGATGCTTGTGTTTACTGGCATTGCTCTTTTGCTCCTACATCAACAAGATGACTAGTATTTTTCCAGCCTCCTACCAAAAGAGGATTAAAAACCAGCGTTTGGAATACAAAATAATTTTTATTGCCTGCGTACTTCAAATCCCAGCCCCATTTCATGTAATTAAAGAGTTTGCTTGTTTTTTTTCCATTAAACTCCATGAAAGTGGCTTTTGCTTCTGAGTTTCTTTTTGCCTTTGTTTACATATACATGTATTTAGTGGTTTTGCTTTAAAACACAAGATCAGATAAAAAATGCAGGTGATTGGATTGCATGGATGTGAAGAATAGCACTTGAGAATATAAAAAAAGCAAGAAATTAATAGACTAAATTAAAAAAACACCAAACCTCTCAAAGCCATGTCCACCATCTGAGCCTAGATCTTAAAGGGAAGAATTCTGAGTGAACTCATGAAGATCAACAGAAGCTTCATTTTTGCAATAGATTTTATTTAAAAAGCACTCACATATTGTGTTAATGGAAGAATAAACTGTTGAAACAGGTAGAAGAGGTAGAGTTATACTTTTGGCGTAGAAAGGAACGGATTTGGGCAAGACCGGTCGCATTACTAGGGGTAGAGCTTCACCTGCTCATAACAAGTATTGCATGATGTGGTTGACGCCCCTTCCAGCCGGGGACTGGCCTTGAAGGCAGAGGAAGTTCTTATCATCCAAACCAACACAGGTTCGTCACTCCTTGGTTTTGCAAAATGAAGATCTTACACGGTGTGTCAATGGAAGAAGAGATCAACTAAATAAGAAGTCAGCAACCTCCCCCCCCCACCTCCCCCACATCCAGGGTTCTGAGGTCAGTGACTAGGATGGCCCTGTCTGCTTGGAAAATCCATGAACCTGTGCCTGTCCCTGTGCCACTCATTAAACCACTGAAGGATATGGAAGGATTTTGAAAATGTGCAAGATCCAAAATAAGTGGAATTGTATTTATCAGCATTGTTTTAGCAGGCTGATGTTGGCCCCTAAGCCTAGAGCTGGGACATGGGGCTGAGTCCATTTTGAGTCCTAGGTGAGCCTTATTCTGAGGGGATTTTGTGCAGCACCTG